CAGCAGGAAAGAGACAGAGGGGAAGGGCTCTGGGTTAAAAACCAAAAATCGTGAAAAGCAGGCGCCGGGGTAGTGATTTCAGCATCACTTTTGTGTTCTTCTGGTTCGGAGGAAATTCTCGTAGCTGCCACTGTAAGTGCAGACTCACTGTGTACGCAGTCACCTCCCGAGGGTCCGTGCTGTGCTCGGCTCCTCTGGGCGAGGAAGATGCCGGGGTCTCTGGTCTCCGGGGCCAGCAGCGTCCCCCTCACAGGTTCCAGGCCATGCAGGGCCTGTCTCCTCCCGGGGGGACGTTAGCAGGGAGGCTGGGACGCCTCCGGGGGTCCCTTGGGGCTCCTGATCTTCGGTTGTGAGCAGCCTCCCGGCTGTGGGAAGGGGAGCAGGACAGACGGCAGGGAGGCGCCAGGGAGGGAAGCACGACCATCTCCTCTGCCTCTCACCCCCTTGCTCTGTCCCCCGAAAGTCTGCCGAGCCACGGGGGGGCCCTGGTGGTAACCCCTAACCTTGGATCAGCCAGCGGGGCCCCTGGCGTGTGGCCTCCAGTCCACCTCCCCGGCCTTTCCCAGCTCGCTTTGTCCACGCAGGACCTCACGGGGGCCTGGAGTCCACAGGTTCCCAAGCTGAGTTCATGACAGCCGAGCCCTGAGCGTCCCTCACCGACCCAGCCTTGGGGCCGCGCCCTGAGCCCTGCCGCTGGCTTAGCCCCGGCTGCCACAGCTAAGTACCACCGACAGGACGGGGGCGCCTGACCAGCCGGCGTGGATCTTCTCACAGCTGTGGAGGCCAGAGTCCATGGTCAGGGTGCTGACAGTGTTGGTTTCCCTGAGTCTCTCTCCTTGGCGTGCAGGCGGCCGCCCCCTGCACACGCACCCTGCTGTCTGTCCCGCTCCTCATCAGGTTGCATCAGGACCCCACCCTGACGGCTTCATTTTGCCTCTTTAGAGGCCTGGTCTCCAAATCCATTCCCGTCCTGAAGTCCTGGGGTTCGGGGCTTCAGCGTGTCATCGTGGAGGGGAGACCAGGAGCAAGCCCACCGCGTGCCGGGCTTGTGGAACTCTGAACTGGTCGTTTTGGTGAACCTGCCTGAGGGACACAGGAGGCCCAGTCCGTGTCCAGTTCGGCCATTTTCGTGTGCACTTATGAGTGGGGCGAGGACCACGTCCCTAATCACTGCCCAGCACCACCTGTCGTATCCAGCCGAGCCACGTCCATGCCGTTGCCCCAGAGCTGCTTCTGCTTGACGCTGGCCAGCACCTCCTGACGCTCACGTGTCGCTTGTCCTGGGTCCCTTCCAAGGACCGGAGCTGGGCGCCTAGGGCTGGAGCTGTTCGGGAGCCAGCCTGCCGTCGTGAGATCAGAGCCTTGCTCACGTAGCCCAGATGCCCCCTGGAGCATGGAGACCACAGTGGCAGGGTCGTGGAAGGGCGTTGTAGCCGAACACCCTTCGAGGGTTTCCTCAAATCAGCAGCTGCCCAGGGGGCCCAGCAGACCCTGCTGAAGTTGGTGTCTCTGGCAGGCCCAGAACCCCCGAGCAGCCCAGGGGACCCTCCCCGGACCTTTGCGGTCAGTTATCCTGACCCGCTTCCCGTAGACAGGGAACCGAGGGCAGCCCCACACCTGAGCTGGGCTCTGAACACTGAGTTGTCTGGTGGGTTCTCCGGACCCCGCGGGTGATGGGGTCCTCTTGGCACAAACGGAGCCGCAGGCAGGGAAGGGCTGGAGAGCTGCCAGCGCGGGGCACTTCGTGGTGAAGTGCTGGCTGGTGGTAGAGACGGAGGGATGCTTCCAGCGCGCAGCCCGTATTCATCTCCCTGACATTCAAGGCCATCGCCATGTGACCCAGTCTCCCTAACATCCAGTCCTCCCACCCTTTATACAGACATACTTTCTGGCCCGATTCACACACTCGGTCCTCCTAAGACGTCACGCGTGTTTCTCCCATGGCCCTCGCTCTTCCTCCCAGGCGCCCTGCAGATCTTACGTCCTCATCACTTGTCAAATGAGCGGGTGCCGTGTGAAACCTTGAGGGAAGTATGCTGTTTCTAGAAGGAGCCAGATCTCTCCTCAGATCCCTGCCCCCAAGATGCTTTTCCATCAGGGGTCCCTTTGTGCCTGAGGCAGTTAATCCCAGCAGCTTCTCCATCCCAATCTTGTTAGCTGAGCATTTTCTGATTACACTGTCGTCCTCTTGGCAGTTCCCAAACCAGATCTGGATTCATACGTGTTTCTGAGGGTGAAAGAGCGACAAGAAAACATACTGGTAGAACCGGAAACAGATGAGCAGAGGTGAGTGGCGTTTGCATTGTGGATGGTGGGACGCACTCCTCCCCATGGGGTTGCAGCCGAGCTCCACGGGTACATTGTTCTCTCTTCCAGGGACTATGTGATCGACCTGGAGGAGGGCTCACAGCACTTGATCCGATACAAAACCATCGCACCCCTGGTCGCTTCTGGAGCCGTACAGCTGATTTAAAACCGGAAGCAACTAACCAAGAGTGAGGACGTGGAACGTTGGAGAGCGTATTTGGAAACCCCACGTGTCAGCCGGTGCCCGAGGACGGGAACTTTTCCCGGCAGTGCCACGGGTCACTGGGGCATTGAGATCCGCTCGGGGCAGATCCCTCCCTGGCTGCTCCAGCCAGGATCAGCAGGTGGGGTCATCGCTCTGCCAACTCCGCGGCTGGGCAGGGACACGGAAGCACCCTTCGTGGTGGTGTTTGAACTGAGGAGGGTGAGGCCGAGGGGGTGCGTAGAAAGGCCTCGCTGCCTGTGATGAGGGGACTGGTGGGCCCCAACCTGACAGCGGCAGGAGCGCTCCCTCAACCCTCCTGGTAGGAAGAGTGTAAATAGATTAAACCATGTGGCCGCCCTGTATAGTATGTCACCGACTCGTGTAAACTCAGCTTCTGGAGCCTCTGCTCTCGCACTCAGAGCCAGCTGCTGTCGTGCCTAACTGAGCATCACAACCGATAAACTAGTAACTAGGTCTCGGTTTCACGGCAGAAGGAGCCCGTGGGCAGTTCCCAGCGTGTAGTCTAGTGAGGTGCATCCCGGTGAACTGCAGCGTCTGGCGGTCTCCCAGGCCAGCCTGCAGGCCACGTGCTGGCCTTGACCAGGGCCCCGGGGGCAGAGCAGCAGCTGCTCTCCTACGTTGCCACCTCAGCGGCAGCTGTTCCTTTTTAGGCTCTTCACTTTCTCAAGGGGAATAGATGAAATTGACCTCGGTGAGTGGACAGTGTCTCAGTGACACCCGAGGAGGGATGTACACACGTGAATCGTCTTCCCTTGAAACGAGATACAGAGCAACTGCCTTCCAGTCTTTCTTGCTCGATGCAAAGGCAGGTTTTCATCTACATGATGTTGGCTCTTGGAGTAATCAGTGTGATATTGCTGTTATTTCCAAGAGAAATCACTAAGTGAAAGCAAGGAAGGTTTTATTCGTTAATAAAAACGTTTTATATCTCACGTAGTGCTTTGTTTTCTCCAGAGCGTTTTCACCCTCTTCACCCGTTCATTAAATAAATGTGCAGTGAGCATACAGTATGCCAGGCACAGTCTACCACACTGGGGCTCCAAGCCAGAATGAGATGGTCACTGACCCTGCTCAGGTGGGAGAAGTGCCTTGAAGAGACTTAGAACGGGGGGCTCACGGGGGCTCACCAGCATGACTGGGTGCTCTGAGAGACTCTCACTGATTTCAGTGAATCTCACTGAATTAGGCTGAGGTCTGAATAATAAGAAGGGACCAGACACAGAACTCAAAAGGCTTTCCAGGCAGAAAAGGCAGCTTGTGCAAAGGCCCTGAGGCAGAAACGAATTCTACCTGCAGTCGGTGTGGCTAGAAGGCAGTGGGCACAATGCAGAAGGGTGCAGGATTAAGGTCTGAGAGGCAGGCTGGCCCCAGATCACTTAACGGCTTTGTTAGCAAGGACCCCATGGGTCCTCACAGCATCCTGAGAAGCAGGCAGGGCTGGTAGTAGGTAAATAGGTGGGAAACAAGGTGGCCGTTTAGCAATAAGTCTGAACCCAAGTCTCCTTCCTCGGGGCCACCTTGTGGTCCCATGTCATCGTTGCTTCTGCTGTGGAAAGGAGAGGACCGGGCTGCATCATGTCACCCGCTCCCGCCCTGTTCATGCCGGGCAGCATGGAGGAGTAAGGTCATCACTGAAGCCATAGAGCTCATTGCTCCATTTTCTAGGTCACCTCTGCAAAGGAAGACTGGTTTAGATAAGCCATTTCGAAATAAAGGGGAAGTTGAATATCAAAACCAAGTGAAGGGAAATGATGTGGTTTAGTGTGACGTCTTTAACATTTTCAATTTGTGGGGAGTATTTTGCTTTATGGTTAAAAACTCATCACTGGAAGCAGGATGGGACATTTACTTCAAACATTGGCATCATACCTTATCATAAGCTTGTTGCCAGTGAGATTCCTGAGAAATGCTGGAGCAAGACCCGCTGTGTTTACTCTGTGCCCAAACATTGAGGCTTCAGTGCCCCCAACCCCATGCACATCCACCTTTCTTCCGTGATGGACTTGAGCAAACCATGAAACTCTCAGAGGGATTGTGAAGTGAGCACATCATACACCAGTACTGCAGATAAATGTTATATGATATCGCTTCTATGTGGAATAAAAAAAAAATACAAATGAACTTATTTCCAAAACAAATCCACAGACATAGAAAACAAACGTGGTTACCAAAGGGGAAAGGGGGAGAGAGGGATAAATTAGGAGTTTGGGATTATTTATTACTATATATTAAATAGATAATCAACAAGGACCTACTGTGTAGCACAGGGAGCTCTACTCGATATTTTGTAATAACCTGTAAGGGAAGAGAATCTGAAGAGAGTGTACATATATATAACTGAATCGCTGTGCTGTATACCTGGAACTAACACGATATTGTAAATCAACTACTGTATACTTCAGTTTAAAAAATACTTCATATAGGGCTTCCCTGGTGGTGCAGTGGTTGAGAGTCTGCCTGCCGATGCAGGAGACACGGGTTCGTGCCCCGGTCCGGGAAGATCCCACATGCCGCGGAGTGGCTGGGCCCGTGAGCCATGGCTGCTGAGCCTGCGCGTCCGGAGACTGTGCTCCGCAACGGGAGAGGCCACGGCAGTGAGAGGCCCGCGTACCGCAAAAAAAAAAAACAAAAAAACTTCATATAATGTTAAGTAATTTATCATGGGAGGCTAAACATTCCAAATATTTGGAATTGTTCAAAATTGATTTCTTTCTTTTTTGTATTATAGTAAAATACACATAACGTAATTGCCATCTTAACCATTTGTAAGTTCACATTCAGTGGTATTAAATATATTCACCTTGTGCATCCATCACCACCATCCATCCCCACGACTCTTCATCTTGTAAAACTGAAACTCTATACCCGTTAGACAATAACCCCCTCCCACCGTCCCTGAAAACCACCATTCTACTTTGTCTTTACGGTTTTGGCAACTCTAAGTACCTCATTAAGTGGAATCATAGTTTGTCTTTTCGTGGCTGGCTTATTTCTCTTAGCATAAGGGAAACCTTGGGAAACCCCAAGATTTATCCATGTTGTAGCATGTGTCAGAAATTCTTTTTAAGGCTAAATAATATTCCCTTGTACGTATAGACCACATTTGCTTATCCATAAATCTGTCAGTGGACACTTGGGTTGCTTCCACATTTCAGCTGTTGTGAATATTGCTGCTGTGAACATGCGTGTGCAGATATCTTCGAGATCCTGCTTTTAAATTTTTTGGCTATACACCCACAAGTGGAATTCCTGGATCATAATGTAATTCTGTTTTTAATTTTTTGAGGAAACACCACACTCTTCCACAGCAGCTGTGCCATTTTACAAGGGCTTCAATTTCTCTACATCCTTGCCTATACCTGTTTGCTATTTTTTTATAGTAACCGTACTAATGAGTGTGAGGTTATAGCTCATTATAGATTTGATTTGCATTTCCCTAATGATTCAGCATCTTTTCCTGTGCTTATTGGCTATTCCTACGTCTTCTTTGGAGAAATGTATATTCAAGTGCTTTTGTGCTTTTCTAATCAGGTTGTTTTTATTGTTGATGAGTTTTAGGAGTTCTCTATACATTCTGGATATTAATCCCTTATCAGATATATGATTTGCCAATGCTTTCTCTCATTCTGTGGGTTGCCTTTTTACTCTGTGGATAGTATCTTTTATGCATAAATTTAAAATTTTTTTCATAAAGTCCAATTTGTTGATGTTTTCTTTTGTCACCTGCGCCTTTGGTGTCAAATCCAAGAAATCATTACGAAATCCAATGTCATGAAGTTTTTATCATATGCTTTCTTCCAAGAGTTTTATTTGCTTAGGTCTTAAATAAATTTAAAGACCTAAAGGTCCTTGATTCATTTTGAGTTAGTTTTTGTATGTAGTGTTAAGTAAGGGTTCAACTTCATTTTTTTGCTTGTGGATATCCAGTTTTCCCAGCACCATTTGTTCAAAAGACTGTCCTTCCCCCATTGAATGGTCTTGGTACCCTTGTCAAAAATAATGTTACCATATATGTGAGGGTTTATTTCTGGGCTTTCTATTCCGCTCCATTGGTCTGTATGTCTGTCTTTATGCCAATACCACACTTTTGATTACTGTAGCTTTGTAGTAAGTTTTGAAATCAGGAAGTGTGCATGCTCCAGTTTCGTTCCTCTTTTTTCAAGATTGTTTTGGTTATTGGGGGTCTTTTGAGATTCCATATGAATTTTAGGATGGGTTTTTTCTGTTTCTGCAAAAAAAAGTCACTGGGATTTTTATAGAGATTGCATTGAATCTGTAGGTCTCTTTGGGTAGTATTGACATTTTAGCAATATTAAGTCTTCTGGCCCTTGAACATGCGATGTGTTTTCGTTGATTTATGTGTTATTTAATTTCTTTCAGCAGTGTCCTTCAGTTTCCATTGTATAAGTGTTTTACCTCCTCGGTTAAGTTACTTCCTAAGTATTTTGTCCTTTCTGATGCTATTTTAAATGGAACTGTTTTTATAATTTCCTTTTCAGATTGTTCATATATAGAAATGCAATTGGATTTTTTGTGTTGACTTTCTATCCTGCTACTTTGCTGAATTCATTTATTAGTTCTAACAACTTTTTTGTGGAGTCTTTAGGGTTTTCTACGTATAAGATAAACATCATCTGCAAACATAATTTTACTTAGTCCTTTCCAATTTGGATACTTTTTATTTATTTTTCTTGCCTAAGTGCTCTGGCTAGAACTTCCAGTACTATGTTGAATAGAAGTGGTAAAGCTGGGCATTCTGATCTTAGAGGAAGAGCTTTCAGTCTTTCACCATCAAATGTGGTATTTGCTGTGGGTTTTTAAATATGGCTTTTATCATGTAGAGGTAGTTTCCTTCTCTTCCCATTTTGTTGAGTGGTTTTATCGTGAAAGTGTTGAATTTTGACAAATCCTTTTTCTGCATCAGTTGAAAAGATTTTGTGTTT